AAAGCCTAAAATTATTATTAAGAAATTATTTCCTTTATTTAAGGACGAAACGAAAAATATTAAAAATTATTTTTTGCTCAGTTGTTGCAATTTCTTATTTATTTTCTTTCTACATTTCCTTTTTAAGAAGTTTTTCACGCACATTTCCATCAAAATTTTCCATTTTAAACTAATGCGTGCTTTTTAAATGAGGAAAAAATTATAGTATTCATTAAAAAATGCAAAACTTTGGTTTGCGTATTCTATGATGTTAGCAAGGTTATTTTTATAAAGGCTCTTTCCTTAAGTAATACCTAAAATTAATTATTAGAAAATTATTTTCTTTATTTATCATGATGTGGTATTCTTAATGCATTTAAAAATTCATTATTGCTACTTTTCGCAGATTTTTCCTCTATATTTTCGTTTTTATCCTTTCACATTTTGGCCATAATTTTTCACTTTAAACTAGTGCGTGATTTAAAAGAGAGGAAAGGATTATGTTATAATATGCTAAAATCTTATCTTCCTTTGTTTATGGCATTCACAAATCTATTCGCATTAACCAGTTTGGCGTGATAGTAAGAGGCAACTCAAATATCAACTTAATAATACCTATTAATTTATGGAATAAATCTGTAAAACCACAAATGCGTGAACCGTTTGAGGATAAACTTAATTTTTTATTTTCGTGCTAAAATTAAGTGCGTGAATTACAAGAAGACGTGAAATATGCGAAATAAATACCCCACGTCCTTGCTTTCGCACAAAGATTTAACTCTGAGACCTTCAACGAATTATTACGTATTTGGTTTTCCTATGTATCAGTTTATTTCTTTGAGTAATGAACTGTAGAAAAATACTATTTATTACATAATGTTCCGTTCTTTCCTTACTTTGACAGGTCATTAACCTATTGCTAAGATTTCAATCATTTTTACCCTTGGCCAATGACCTTTTTCAAAGAAAAAAGTGCATTCAAAAAGCAATGTAAGAAAAGTCCCTACTATTAAAGACTTACTGACCTTAGCGTGTGAACTAAAATAAAATGTCTCGGGATTGAATCACAATGAGAAGGAAATATGACAATACTCTATGTTACGAAGCATAGTCTTCGTGAAAACTTGATGTCATTAAAAAAACGTAACTGTTCTTCCCTGTTTACACCGTAACATATATCGTTCAAACTATTACATGTAATAAAAAGAAAACGAAAACATACAAAGAGGTAGCTGAAAATTACATGGTACGAGTGTATAATTTTCCTCGCAGTTATTTCTTTGCATATTATTCTTCAACGCCTTTTATGTCCATGATAAAGAAATTTCACAGCTATTGATGAGATTGGCATTCATTTTGGCAAATGATACTTAGTAAATGTGAATAACAAGTAGTTCAGTATACATTACTAAAGATTGCGAGTGAAAGTGAATAATATTTGCTGAAAACGAAGACAGGTTTCACTATGTTTCAAGATCTTTTACCACGGCTCATTAACCTATCATTAACCATTGCTTTCGCATTCAGATTGAAAATTCGAATGAGAGACTACTAACGCAGTACCGCTAAACAATTGTTATTTATTATTTATTTGTATTGTTATTATTTCTTTCTTTTATTGCATTTATCTTGATTTATTCCTCATTACTTATCTATAGTAATTTATTATTAATTTTTATTTATTGTTATTATTTATTTATTATACTTAGCGTCAGTGATATTATTAGACTTACTTCTCATTTGTGTATCCGTTTCACTTTTCATATAAGAGAATACTGCCACCATACTCTTCGCCATGTATTATTTTTAAAGAAAAGTCTGCCGCGTAACCGGGATAGTGATTAACAAGGCTGACTGCCATACCGAAGGAGCCAGATTCGAATCCCGGAGAAGGCATGGGCGTTTGTAAATGCTTACAGTTTATGCGGCATAAGGGTAGTCTAAATATGCGGCGGTCGAAAGTCCTCTCGAGATGTTGGTGAGAGGGTAAGAGCGATCGGAGACCCTCGGACCCGTCCCCCCGGTGCTCTCCCCGGGTCGTAACTAAAGAAAATTGGGGGTCGTAACTGAGCAAAGTCGTACTGTCACCTGTATAATGTTCTAGACTCTTGAAAACGGCAGGCGGAATCTTGCTCTCCTTGCCAGGTTGAATTTCGTGGGCTTGTGTTGATGTTACTGTTAGACAAGTGAAAGAAAAATTCTAATGATTATAAAAATAGCACGCTGTCGGGAATACTAAAGATATGATGTTTTTAAATATTTTGCGATTTTCCTACTAAACTTTATATGGCAGTAGTGCGAAGAAAGTGATGTTTAAGAAATAAAGTAAAAAGAATAAAAATTGAGTAATAAAAAGACAAAACTGTGTAAGCCATTTTACTAAACTGATGAACCAACGAATAACGTAAGCACATCAGGACGATAAGTTGGACATCCCACTCTGTATGTTCAAGTTCGTTAGTAATAAATGGCTTGCTTTCGCGTAGTCCGATAAAACTACCAACCTGCATCCTATTTATGCACCCTTCTGCTGTACTTACACGTTATCGCAACCACCTAAGTAGAATACACCAAATTTTCAGAAAGTGCCAAACTCTGGCAACCATGCGCATAACCATTTTTCAGGCAACCACACGTGTAACAATCCTCAAGTCGAGTAATGTCGCCATTTTCGTATACGTTGTTCTTGTTGTACCCTAAGTTCCAACGGCTTCTAGAGACAAATCGTGATATTTTTTGCCTTTAATTAAATTTTTTTTTTTCGCTTGGGAAATTTGCCAACATTGGAACAAACTGCATTAAAAATACTGTAGGAATGCAAAATTTGTCTCAAAATTTCTACGTGGAGGTGCGTCTGGTAGATAGCCGGTGCTACGGAGGTTTGAGCGAAGTCGAGTCTTTGCAATTGTCTGCGTTTTTAAGTGAAAACAGATCGCTGTATATTCGAGAAGAGCAGCGAAAAAAAGTACAGAAAGATGTGGTGACGAATGTAAGTGCTTTATTTTTTTAATATATCTCGTAATCCTAGTTTAAAATGTAAAATGTTTATTTAAAATTGCTAATGTATGTTGATTTTCCATATGTTGATAATGTTTCCATATCAATACTTCTGGAATCTTTTAGAAAAAAGTCGCGAAAACTGCCAACCTGCATCTGATAAGTAACTTTTACCTTTTCATCTGTAAAAAATCGCCAATTTGGGCAAATGGTGATTGCGTTAATAAGTAAGTACCCATTATTTATCCCTCTCAAAAAAGAAAAAAAAAAAAGCATAAACAATATTCTTATTCCACAAAAAGCTTTTGAAGGAATTTGTCGTGAAATTAGAGAATGTTCTTTTCCTAACCCCGGTTGTTCCGTTCCATCGCCAAAGGCTTGGGTAAAGAAATAAGACAAAAGAGCAAAGTCTGAAAAGGTTTGTTAGGGTATTTACGCTCTCGCTGAGTCTACCAGTCTACTATTGCACTTACTCCTGCTAACTCACTTTTTTTTTTTTTTTTTTTTTTTGTCTTTTTAGCTTTATTATTAAGTATAATTTTCTTTTCACTTTTGCCATATACAATTCAATGTTAAAATTACGAAAATGTAAAAGCAGCATAACAGCATATGCTTAGAATTCCCGTTGTAGTCTAAGTGTTGGCATAACATATATTTTTTTCAGTTCATCATGTCAACATTCAGTTTCTTACTAAGATGGCTAGCTAAACTTTTTTTGGCTTTTTATTATTAACTATTTTTAAGACAAATCTGTTAAATATTATGTTCTTACCGCACATACAATTCAATTTAAAAACGACATTCTTTAGAATTTCCGACTGACAGTCTCATGCGCTAGAGATAAAAATGTTTTATTCTGTATAGTGTTGCCACTGGTCACTTTCAAAACGTTGAGTTTGTTAATCAAAAATTCATTAAAGTTTTACAAAATAGAAAATATGATATTTAAAATACTGGGGGTTACCGGGCGATAATATCTGGTGGCAACAATTTGAAAAGCGATTCGCAGTTTTAGCGAACGGCGCGAAATTTCGTTTTCGAGGTTAATACCTCATTCGGGATAAGGCTCTTGTGAGCTAAAAATACATCATTTATGGGCTAAAATGCGGCATTTATGGGCTAAAAATGCGTGTTTTGTAACGAGCCTATTAATGCATGAGTGCAATTAATGTAAGCATGTGTATTTTATAAATAGAATATTCTACAGCGTATTGTGAATACTGTATTGTATAGCATCTCGTAAAATGTGTAAGTGCCCGTAGCGTATAGAGTTATGCTTTGAGCCGCAGGAAGCTTAGTAACTATAACTGTTGTACTACAACTTAATGTAATCAAGATCACATAATATAAATATTACAGTGTGTATGGCAAATACAATATTTAATGTATCTAGCACATGTAGAGTAACGTGATGAAAGATATTGAACAAAGCAATTACGAATATTGCTCTGTACGGAATGTATTATGTTTCATGCACAGAATGCTGTGGGTTTCCAAACAAGACACCTGTACTTTGCATGTGATATTCACAGCAGTAGTAACGATTGCATGTTTTTCCATTCTGTATTCCTCTCCCCCTTAAAGTGTATTTTTAACAGTTTGTTAAAGCTCGTTGTATTAGGAATTATGTTATACACGAGTACATAACAAAGAGTTATTACCAGTGCCTATGTCATATGATCAAGAGTTAATGTTCAGTGTAATATGTAGCTAATACACACACAGTGCATTAAGTGTAGAAATGAGTTTTGTAAGGTGTCTTAAATATTATGCAGTGTTCAATGTAATATGTATTATAAAATTTTAGTGTATTGAGTGTTTTTTTATATAGCAGTGTATTAACCTGCATTGTGACCAGTAGAATGTTTAATTACAAAGTTATTTTTGGTATGTTTTAAGGATACGGCAAAATTTATGCCACAGTGAATTTTTAACATCGTGTTATTTAATCAAAAGTAATATGGGCTGCACTGTGTCCTCAAATCTGTATTTTGTATATTATAAGTACAGCATAAAGAACTCACCGTCTTGGAATTAGCAAGAGCGGAATTCGATCTGTTTCCAGCTTGATAAGCCATGGCTGCTTGCCTGAGCGGTTCTGGTATGTGAATTTGAACCACACAGTATTGCCCATGGAAAGCCACTTCATTTTCTGTCCAAGGCGGTGGCGGTGGTGATCTAGTATTCTTAGGAACTACGATATCCAGACATTCGTCATAATCGCCCATGGCCGTGGCAGTTCCCTCTAGTATTCCTGCAGAAGGTTTTCCAAGTGCATCAACCACTGTAAGAAAATAATATTATTTCAAACGATTCTCGAAAAATACTGAAAGAATACCATTATAAAGTCATTGAAAATTTATCAATATCCGTGTGCTTGCAGTTTATAAAATAAAGATATTTTTTCCGTTTTTGAAAATTATTCTTATAGGCATGGGTTTATTTACACGAATCGCTATTTTTTAATGGATGATACATTAATCAGCTTTTAAAAAAAGCTTTGAGCCACTTATAGTTCCTGAATTTGTAGTTCACTGCTAGTGAACTACAAATTATTAATTTAAATGTAAATCCGTCCTTGGTAATGCAGAAAATGCAGTTTATAAAATATTCTAACATTGAAACGAGAAAGTGAAACACGAGAGTTTTCAATGAATGGACTGAAATTTTTCTAATCACTTTCCAGGCAAAGTAGTAATACATTTTTTAGACGATTTCTATGCTCTTTGAACTAACAATTTTTATATTCTTTCTGGACAACTTCTAGATGAATAGTAATATATTACTACCGATGAATATTTCTAGACCAGGGGTTCTGAGCTAGGAGGATAGGAGAATTTGATAGTTTTGGAAGGGGGGATGCTATAAAGCTTATTTACCTGTTAAAGAAATTATCTTTAGTTTATGAATATAAAAAACTGTTTTTATTCTGGATATTAATCAACATTACATCTGAGTATTTATTAACATTTTCTGCTCTTTTCTTGTTTAATTTATAAACATATCGAAAAATAGCCTAAATTTAAGTAAATACATATGTATTTTTGAATTTTGGGAAATAAAGGGAAAGAGGGATGATCGTTTTGCATTAGGAAAGAGGTGCATGGAATATTCTGAACGACTAATGAGAATGGATATTTTCTAGAACATTATAGAGATCATGTGTTTTACATAAAAGTAAAACCATTTCTAAATAGCCTCAAAAGTATGTAGCGTATTTTCAGAAATTTAGTAAAAACAGTGCATACATGAGATAATGAGAGACTATTAACGCCAATATTACTAATTACTGCTATTGTTATTTATTATATATTTGTATTGTTATTATTTATTTCTTTTATGGCATTTAAATTGATTTATTCATAATTTTTTATTTACTTATTTATAGTGATTTATTTATTATTATTTATTTATTTACTTATTATAATTAGTATCAGAGATGTTACTAGTCTCACTCCTCAATTTTGCATCAGATTCACTTTTGTGTCCAATCACTTTTTATATAAAAGAATGCTGCCACCAAATGTTTTCCTTCATGTTCTGTCGGGGCCCAGCAGCGGCCGAGCGGTAAAGTCGCTGAACACTGGTAGTTCGGTCCAAGGTTCGAATCCCCGCGAACGGGCTGGCTGCATGGGCGTTTTCGTGGTTTTCCCCATGTGTAACGTGTATACGAGCCAGTTTCCCTTAGAAAGTCCTCCACGAAAGGCATCCCTCCCCTTAGGCAGATAGCCCTCGAGGCTTTGCCATAATCACACATACACACCATACATCATGTTCTGTCGCCCAACCGGGAGAGTGATTAGCGACGCTGACTGCCGTACAGAAAGGCCCGGTTTCGAATCCCGGAGAAGCATAGATGTTTGTAAATGTATAATGTCTGTGGGTATGGGGGCACTCTAAATAGGCAGTGAGCCGAAAGTCCTGTCGAGAGGTTGACGGTAGGAGAAGAGGGCTGAAAGACTCTTGGACTCATCCCCCAGGGTACTCTCTCTCAGTATTGGAGACAGAACTGTGCTCAAGGCTGCCAACGACAGGCGCATTTGCCTCTTTGCCGTGTTGAATGTCGTGAGCTTGTGCTGACTATTGTGAGACAAGTGAGATAGTTTACAAGCGCAAACATTTAAATATGCGACGGGCTTCACCCGTAAATGTTAAGTAGAGATCAGAAAATATATATGGGCAAGACTAACTACTTCTATTTAAGTAGTTAAGTGGTTAAGACTATTTAAGTAGTTAAGACTAACACTTCTATTTAAGTGGACTAATAACTACTTCTATTAACCAACTACTTCTATTTAAGGACAATTAAATTTAAGAACAATCAATTAAATTGATCTAATATATCTATGACGCCCGAATCATCTTAAATATCTTAAAAGTAATGTAAAATTTGCAATAATAAGAAATCACCTTCTTGACCAGAAACAGATTACGGGCAACACAATCCAGCATAAAGATAAAACTAAGATTTCCTGTTCTGTTACCCCGTTTTTCTGAATACTTTGAAAATATGTTCAGTTATATATTTATTTTTACAATTGGAAGAGAAATACGCGTATGCAGTATTTGAAACTAAGCAATAAAGGAAACTTATTTTGGCTTAGGTTTTGAATAAAAATCTATCGATTTCGATGGCGATCCGACACAGGACCCTCTTATTGAAGAACAAAATATATTTGCTCCATTTAACGATTATATGTTCACAGATTTGATAGAAAATAAAAAGCGTAAATTAACTATTAACTATGTAATACTTAACCGTTGTTATGTAAAATGTAACTGTTATTAATCATAGCTTAATACTAAACTGAGTGAATAACTCAGTTTAGTATCTCACATACTGCTTTCTTTTTTTTCCAAGCCCACTAGTTAGAAAGCTATAAAATTGCTGTAGTTCGACTTATTTTGGATTCTAGACAAACGGGCTAGCTGCCCGTTTTCTATTTTAATATAAATAGAAAATAATATAAAAATTTTTGAAATTTTTCTTATGTGTAACCTGAATACGTGCTAATTGTCCTTAGAAAGTATACCACAAAAGCATTCCTTGTCTTAGCCAGATAGCCTTAGCGTGCTTTGAAATAATCAAATAAGCCAAACCAACTCTTTAGAAAGTCCTCCATGAAGCCATTCCTTTTTTTAAACAGATAACCTTATGTGTTTTGACGTAACCCGAATAACTCAAACCAGTCTCATTTGCAAAAGCGAAATTTTACTTTAAAAGACCCAAGTTTAATGCATTTTAAAAAATTAAGAAAACCGTAACAAGAGAATTTCAAGAACTGCCATGAAAGTACCCACAAATTTTATTAACATATTAGAAAGTACGCTGTGTTAGGAGAAGCTCATGAAGACCACCAGGAATAAAATTAGCAACAGTAAACAGATGGAAATTTTTCATCATAAAAATTAACATAAATAAGAAAAAAACTATTACTTTCAATTTCATACGAGTTTTGTGAAAAAGTCCAGCGTGCTGTGCTAAACGTTTACTTTGATTTGATTGGATTATCTGGATAAAAGCAAAACATGCGAGGGCTATCTGCTTAAAGAGCTTTCTTGGAGAATATTCTTAGGGAAACTGGCTCATTTTCACTTCAAGAATCAATAAAACGTCCATACAGGATCTCATTTGCGGGAATATGAAACTACCGATGTTCAACGATTTTGCCGACTGGGGGGGGCCCTTTTATATATAATTTCTGCCGTCTTAATTCGTATAATGGTTAATGATGCTAACTGCCGCACTGATGGGCTCGGGTTCGAAGTCTAGAGAACTCTTCGATATTTATAAATCTATAGTATCTTAGCGGCATGAAAATGTATGGCGAGTCCTCTCGAGTGGTTTGGTGCTAAGGGATGGACGTCCCTCAGAGTCGTCCCCAGAGGACAGGAACACCTTCATAACGGTGAGGAACATTTATGAAAATCAATCGATGTTCGAAAAGACAGAAATCTACGTAATGGCGCCGCAACATAAAGGAGCGGGAACAAACTGAAGATCAGCTTCTTCCTTAAAAGTGATCTATTGCCCCTTATGCCAATCGGATATTTTTCATAACAGTGCATGCTGCCTTATGCAAGTAAGATTTTCGTTTTAAGTAGGCAACATTTTTTATGTTTTTATGTTAAAAATGCATGTATACCATTTTTTTAACCTAATCTTTTTTTTTCGGGGGGAGGGGCAGGATCTGGAATGAATATAGACCGTAAATTTAATAAAAGTGTCTTACATTAAATACTCATTATTCCATCTAATACTCAATTTTTATACGTTCTATGTGCATTTTTTATATTAAAATATTCTACTTGATTTTCTTTCGGCTATCGATGTAAATAGCGATTTATAATATAAAAAAATCTGATGTGTACACCACGTGACTTCCTTGTATTGGAATATTAAATTATACGCATTTTTTCTTGCATTTCATTTAAAGTTATTGGATTGAATTAAATCTACTTCTCCGACAGCGCATAAACCACAATAGAATAAATGCATTCTTTAAAATTCAGTCTAGTATTTGTTTACCATAGCGACACTCTGGCGCTAGATTCACTTAACAGTATTAATAATTATATAACAGTTAACTTATATAATAATTATACAACGGAAAGTAAGTTAATTGTTATATAATCCAATAATTACGTAACAGTTAACGTGTATATTTCGTTCATATTATAACTCATAATGCACAAAATTTATATCATTTAAAGAATAGAATTATCTAATCGTTGCCACATGTTCTATTCAAATACTATAATAAAGCTAGAATGATGTATAAAATAAATTAAGCACAAAATAAAAAAGAAACAGTTTTTCAGAGACGATTGAGTATTTCTCATTTAATTAATTCAGTTCTCACTTCGCAAGAAGGCAAAAATACATAAAAACTCAAAATATCTATATTAAAAATTACGAAGTAAATCTCAAACACTTATTTCCTCGAAAAAATTCTAGAAAGAATTAAGGATGATTTAATTGGCAATAACAAATGAATGCGTTATCTTTGTTGTTGCGAAGCTAAGTTTCTCTAGATTGGCAATAAATCCACTAGTCTTCTGTTTCAAATGTAAACATAAATGGCCGCCATAAAAAAATGCTTAGCGGCACTTAGACAACTTTAAAATTGTTGATAATACAATCAACAATCTTTAAAATTGTTGATAAAAACAACATAATACAATCATTTTTAAAGCAAAAAATGTACAATTTACAAACATATAAGAGTAAAGAAACTGAGATCACTGAGCCCAGTAACAGAGTGGATATATATTTAAATATAT